GTCATAACTCTTGAGTCTAGCCCTCTACCTGAACCTTGAGCCTTTTTATGGTTGGAAACTGCCGGTGACAGGTCATGAGTCTGCAGGGGTCTTTGTGCAGATCCTGCCTCTTCTACTTGGCACAAAGAAGGCAAAACAGGTCTGCAAAAGTGGGTCAGTTCTTAACACTATCTCTGCCTGGGCTCCCCACTGGAAGAACCCAAGGAAAATAAGTAAAATCCACCCTGTTGAATTGACGGGTGGTATTGCTGATTCATCATCTCCTGACAAGGGGCAGGTAAGTGGCGAAATGTAGTAAGTAACCGAGCTTTTTTTTTTTTTTCACCTATATCAGTGCCCTGTTTTCTCCTCTATGCCCTCCTCAGCTCCAACTCTGTGAATCAGGATAAAGATAGTTCAGTTTCCAGTAGTGTTGCCAACAACCCCCATTCCTCAACCAAATACTCCCATCTGAGAAATGTAATGTGCAATACACATGCTATTTGCATGCCCTTATCCTAAACAGGAGAATGACCCATTGTCATTGGACTCTGCCTATCCAAGTCACAAGCTCTGAGCTCTCCTTTCTCTCAAATCTGGCCATGCCTTTGAAATCCCAGCATGCCTCTGTCTTCAGAGCATAGGGGCTTTTTGTTGTGACCATGAACCAACAGTGCCCAAAATCTGAGAATTTTGAAGAATGCAGAACACAGCTTTATGCCTAGAAGCAGCTATAGTTGTACTCATAAATGCTTCCTCCAAGGCTTAAAGGTCATTCCCTATCATTTTCCTGCAGACTTTTGGTTTCAATATATGGTGGGCCCACTCACAGGCAAGAATTTTCCTGGGCATTTCTTTCTAAGGCATTGCAGCTGTACTTAGGTGAGGAGGCACAACAATGAGATGTGGAATAGAGCCAATCAGCTGAAGAAATTGATACTGAATAAGGAAATATTTCTTACCAGTGAGAGACTCTCAACAATGAAATCAGTGCCCTAGCAATGCGGAGCATTGCAAGAGATTGAGTCACACCATGTTAGGGTCTGTGCCAAGATGAAACACCCAATTACCCATCCTTCCAGGTATGAGAGTTAAGAAAGACATGCTAGGAGGGTCTCAGTGATTCTTCCTCTGTGTTTGGTTGATTTTAGTTTTCAGGGAGTGATTCGGTTGACCTGTGAATTCTCAGCTTTAAATAAAGACTCGGAACTGTGAAGGTAATAGCTGTTCTTCATCTGTGGACCTCCTAAGAGAAAGGAATAGAATTAACAGTAATTGAGAATGAATAGATAGGCCATAAACATGACTGTATTGAATCATGGCAAATATCATGCCCATTTAAAGATGTGGAAACGGAGGCAAAGGAAATGAAGTGTGTTTTTCAGGATCAATAACCTGCAGGACTAATATTTAAACCTGGGTCACTCTGACTTTGGTGGCCTTGGAGGCCCGTTCACATCAACACACCACCTCGGTGAGGATTCAGATAAACTTACTTCAGTCTAGGTTTAATAACTTTTGAGGTCCCCAAATGGCAGTCGTTAGGTACGTTTCTTTTCTGTGGGCTGTGCCGTTCCTCCCAGAGCTGGGTCTGCTTCCCTGCCCTCCTGACTCCGTGCACAGAAGTCCAGCCACATTGCAGAGGAAGGACTTGCTAATGGAAAGAAATGGAGAGACCCAGCCTCCCTCACCTCCCATTGGTGCCTGATTATTAATACATATTTTGCTGCCATTGGAAATGGAAGACAGTGCCAACCACTTAGTTCTCCCAGCTGGGCCAGCGCAACCTGTATGACAAGGGGGAAGAGCCTTTAAGTGAGACAGGAGAGGAGTGGGGCTCTGGGCAGAAAAGCTCCCCAAAGCAAGTGTGCTGGGAGGATGTTTTTTGTATTTTAACCAGTGTTCACCTCTGTCTCCCCCAACACAATATTTCCTTGCACTACTTGGTCTTTCCTCATCTAGTTAATGAGGCCCGATTGAATTTGCTGCATTAGAGTGTGGATAACACCCCCAAATCAAAGAAATAGCATAATACACCGTGGTTTTTGAGTTTCAAAGAAGGCTTTTGAAAGGTATCGCAAATACAACAGATTTGGGAGAACACGTGCTGAGGTGGACTGAAGTGGCCCTTCGATAAAAGCTGAGAGATTCCGTCTTTGGGGAGCAAAGGGAGCCAGGCTCAAAGCAGAGAGTGAGATGATATGCTGAGTACTGAGTCAGGGGTACTACAGAGTACTGAGATGACATGCCAGGTACTGAGTCAGGGGTACTACTGAGTACTGAGATGACATGCCAGGTACTGAGTCAGGGGTACTACTGAGTACTGAGATGACATGCCAGGTACTGAGTCAGGGGTACTACTGAGTACTGAGATGACATGCCAGGTACTGAGTCAGGGGTACTACTGAGTACTGAGATGACATGCCAGGTACTGAGTCAGGGGTACTACCGAGTACTGAGATGACGTGCCAGGTACTGAGTCAGGGGTACTACTGAGTACTGAGATGATACGCCAGGTACTGAGTCAGGGGTACTACTGAGTACTGAGATGATATGCCAGGTACTGAGTCAGGGGTACTACCAGGGTGCTGTGAATAAGTGAACAGAGGCATGTCCTCTGGTTGGGATCAAAAGGCTGCTCGGCAGCACCCAGGGTGAATGAAAGGCTGAGGTAGGCCATAGTAGCCTGAATGACAGGCCATAGTAGCCTGTTGGAGGTCTCAGATGAGCCCACTGCAGACACGTGATATGGAGAGCACACTGTCCCACCCCCTAATTGCCAGAGCACTCTGTTAGCCTTCCCTGTTCCCTGAATTTAGAGGCAACACCCACGAAAAGGGTAGGAAGGATCTGAAATGCTCTGGTGCAATTGAGTTATCAGATAATATGATTTCTATTTCTTGCATTTCTGAGTTTGTAAACTGAGGTTCACACCGCCTCTCTGAGTTAGGCACCTCCCCAAGACAGATCTCTGCCACCCACTCCCTCTCCACACAGTGCATAGAGTTTGCTCCCTCCCCTCCTCACTGCAGGGCTGCTGGGCACCTGCCCCATGGGCATGTCTGCCACCCAGAAGACTCCTCCACCTCCCTGCCCACTGCACCCATGAGGGCTTCTGCACAGCCAGACCTGTTCTCTTGGAGCCTCGGGCTTTGACCTGCCCCATCAAAGGACAGCAGCCAAGGTGACAAGCCCATCCCAGCTCAGATCCTCCGGCAGAGGCAGATACTGAGGCAAGAGACAGGCTAAAGGGAAAGTATAATATCCTCCAACTCCCAATCTCTGGGAACACTGTATCTGAGGTTTGTTTGGCCACCCAAGATGCTGGGCTCTGCCAGACCAGATAACCATTCCAGTTTGACAGGCACCCACAGCCCCCTGGTATGTGCCTTTGACCCACCTGATAGTTCTGGTTTTCTTTTCTTCTGGGATCCCCGAGCTTCTGTTCCCCGCTCCTCACCTAGCTAGAGAGATGTCACCCAGCTAATGTCTTTTAACCCTGCAAGAGGCAAGTTACAGGATGCCCCAACATCAGGACTTTTTTTTTCTTTTTTTTCAGCTTTCAAAACCTTGGAAGTACTGCAGGGTGAACCACAGTTTGAGATACCTTGCAGCAGTGGTTCTCTGCCATTTCTCCCTGCAGCACATTTTTGTTTTTCTAATATTTTTTTTTTTTTTTTTTTTTGACGGAGTCTCACTTGTCACCAGGCTGCAGTGCAGTGGTGCGATCTCGGCTTACTGCAACCTCCGCTTCCCAGGTTCAAGCGATTCTTTTGCCTCAGCCTCCCAAGTAGCTGGGACTACAGACACACGCCACCACGCCCAGCTAATTTTTGTATTTTTAGTAGAGACAGGGGTTTCCCATGTTGGCCAGGATGGTTTCAATCTCTTGACCTCATGATCCGCCCACCTCGGCCTCCCAAAGTGCTGGGATTACAGGTGTGAGCCACTGCACCTGGTCTATAACATTTCTATTTCTGAGTTTATAAACTCAGAAATCTGAGTTTAGGGCAACCAAGGCAACCAAATCACTCTCTGAAAACTAAAATCAGCTCAGGTTTATCTCCTACCGTGCACCAGGCTCTGCTGTAGGGAATGGGATCAGGCACAAGCAAGATTTACAAGGTTCCTGCTCTCAGGAAGTGTCCGTTCCAGCCCAGAAGGGTAGACATGGAGATGCATGGCTCAGATCCTTCAAAAAAAGGACGCATTGCCTGGCTGAGAGGAGCTTGACTGGCTGACGGCCACTGCACTGGTGCCTTCGAGGTCCTCGTCAGCTTTCAGGCTGAGGTCATGCTGTTCTGGAGGCAGCCCTAGCTAATGACAATACAAGGTGGTGGAACAAGAGCCAACCCGTTTCTACCCACATGGGACTTCTCCATTGGGCAGTCTCCGCTCCAAAGCTTCCCATGGGCTGCTGGAGACTGCCCAGGTCACCTTCACATTCTGATGGTTCCCCCTGCCCAGTCCAGCTCCCTCCCCTTTTCCCTCATAGGATGCTTATTCCCCCAACAAACCCCTAACTCCATCTCTGCATTGGCTTCCTTCAAACCCAACTGGTATGTGGGGGACATACAAACCAGCACGAGTGTCGGTAGTGACACGTACTATGGAAGAAGAAGAGAGCCCCTGGACAGAGGCTGACTCACTCCTAGAAGAGGGCCAGGTTTGCTCGACGTCAGGTGCACCCAGCCTCTGAGAAGGGCATGTGTGTGCTGAGACATGAGGAGGAGGAGCCAGCCATGCTCAGAGGAGCCGGGAAAGGGCTCCAGGCAGTGTAAGAAGGAAGACTTGCATTGGAGGTCCAGGAAGGAGCGACTGAATGGAGCACAGTGTTGAGAGATGGGCGAGGGAAAGGAGATGAGGCCAATGGGGCCAACAGAGCCTTGGATGTCCAGTTCTCCTCCGAGTGAACTTCGAGAACAGCAGCGTGATCTGTGTGCAGCATGATCCCACAGACAAACCCAAATGTGAGGAGGCAATAAAACAGGGTAATAATTTGTCATCACCTCGCTACTCACAGCTAATGAGCAAAAGCGGCTAACCTCGTCCTGGCTGTGACCTCCATGAGACAGGCTAGGAGCGATGGGCAACTCTGGCCACTCGGAAAATCATCTTGGACTGTAAGGGAGTGAAAGGGATGTTGCTAGGTTAGTACCTGTTCTGATTTGTTTTTAAAAAGTGAATCACTCCCAAACCTCAGGGTGTTATTCATCAGCCCGTCACTTGTTCCCCTGTGTGATGGTGACACATTTGCATGTCATGACAACCTAGATGAGCACTGCTTCCCTGGAGGAGAGGAGCAGGTGGGTGGGAATGGGGGAAGGTGGTTGGGATGCCAGAGAGCCTTGCCCTAAATCAGTGGTTCTCAACTGGAGGCGATTTGGTTCTCCAGGGGATACCTGGCAATGTCTGAGGACATTTTTGGTTTTTACACTTGTGGGTAGGAATGCTACTGGCATCTGGTGGGTAGAGGTCAAGGGCACTGCTAAACATCCTACAGTGCACAGAACAGCCCCCGCCCACAAAGAATGATTCAGCTCCAAATGTCAACAGGGCTGCAATGAGCTTGAGAAACCCTGCCCTAAATCAAGAGCCAAATTGTTCATCTGTGAACCAAGGGTTGCTCTCAGACGGGGTCTTTGGATGAGGGCACGCAGCAGACTTTGATAAATACAACCAGTGGGGGCTTTCTCAGTGCAGTTCTGCAAATGGCAAACACAACATCTAAGTGTTTGCTCTTCCTTTCTTACTGTAGTTTAAATACCAAGAAACATTACCCTAAAAGAATTTTAACCTCTAAGACTGCAGATGTTCCGGCACTGGCATCTTCTAAGACCGGCTGATTGGGCCAACGGGGGTATAGACTCAACCAGAGACAGGGGAATGGACAAGATGACTGCCCACACCCCCTGCACTTACCCCAAGGAGGTTCTCTCCAGCCAGGCATTTTAATTAATTTTAGTCCCTTTCAAGACCACAGTTATTATTGTAAAAACACCGATAATACTAAACACATGTGGAAAGCATAGCGCCGGCTGCAGCCCTGGAGACCTGGGGACGTGCTAAGTCATATGTCATCTGGGGTGGTGAGAAATCAGCAGGCCCCCTCCCCCTGCCCTCTGAGACCCCAACACCCTTCTCAGTAGGACTGCTCTCCTTCTGTCACCAGCCTAGCCCCCTCCCTAGCTCAGTTTCCCCACCCCCACCAAAGCTCAAGTACCCTTCCCTCCCCACAGAAACAGCCAAGGTGGGTGGGGTGGCAGGTCTCTGGAAATCCTGGTTTAATGATTTTATTAGTAAAGAGGGGGGAAGCAAAGAAAAGGTGCATTCTCTCATTTTGGAAGAATGCTTCATTATCTGCCTTTGCAGGGTGTGAAACACCTCACTGGGCTGTAACCAGCCCTGAATTATTGAGTGAGATGCTCAGGCGTCAGGCTTTCCTCTCCCCCATCCCCCTGGCCCACACCACTGTTTGCTGCATGGTGTCTCAATTCCACTTTCAGGTGAAGGCTGGGAAAATCCAAGAGCTACAGAGCTGCACGGGCATTGTCCTCCCAGAACCACGACCTCTTTCGGGGGCTCTTGCCCTGAAAACAGTCCCCGTGGCACGTGTCTAGTTCCATCTTCACTTGTGTAAGACCATTTCTCCTGCATTCTTGGCCTCACATCTGATTCCCAGGTGCCTTTTGCCTCATGAAACACCTCAGTCCTATTTTAGAGGTTAGAAAGTTCCTTCTTGGCCAAAACAGAGCTAAAGACGCCGGCGTTTGGGTAGCTCCCTATGACTGACTAAGTGAGTATGCAAAAATCTTTCACCTCTACAGCCCTGCTTGCCTTCATCTCCTCTTGAAGATGACAGAGAAGATACTGTTCTTCCCATTTTACAGGTGGAAAAGGCAAAACGCAGAGAGGTTAAGTGGCCCTTCCAAGGGCACACAGCAATTACGAGGCAGAGACAAAGGGAACACAGGGCTCCTCAACAGCAGTCTCCCTATAAACTGTGGACTGATCTGCCCCGTGCCAGATCATCCCTAGCCTCTTTCAGGAGTGCCCTTTACAGACATTCTCTCCAAACCCCAGGGTTCCTGTGGCCTCTGCCACAGAGGGGACGGTCTGGTGGCTGTGTTCCAGATCACAGCCTCCATCTTCAGTTTCCATAACACTGGGTTCAGGGTTGGTCCCTCCCCAGGGTTAGATACTGCTTCTTCCGCTGGGTCCTCCCCTGGCTCCACCTCTGCATCTGAACATCTAGTCTCTTCCTACCATCACTCTCCTCTGCAAGAATCCTGCAGTCACATACACCCTCCACCCTCAACTAGGCACGAAAGGTCAGGCCAAACTAGGAGTTCATCATCTACGGAAAAAAGAAAAAAAAAAATCTTATATCTGTCCCAGTTGTGGCGAGCTTGGACAGTGCGGCAGCTCACCTTCCAAACAAAGACCTAAGTGACAAATTCCTTGAGGACAGTCCCTTAAGAAAAGAAAAACAAAAATCCAAAAAAGTGAGCACATATTGGCACTGTTGTATGTTGTATGATAAACTCATTTAATCATCACAAAGACTCCGTGAAGCAGGTGCTGGGATTATACCCTTTTCATGGATAGGTAAACTGAGGCACAGAGCAACTCGCTCAAGGTCACATAACTAGCAAGCGAGAGAGGTCTGATTAGACCACGGAAAACAAAAACAAAAACTATCAAAAACCATCAATGGAGGGGGTATTTAGGGAGGGGTTATAATTGCCCAATAGTAGCCATTTTCCCAAGAATCTTTCCAGGAGGATAAAATCACCATTCTATTCTCTTCAGTGTGCAGTCGTTGTGAGACCAAGGCAGTGTCTCAGTGGATTAATTGGCCACATATATAATTAGTATATATAATTATTACTTAACTATCCATCTTCCTTGGGTTTTCTTTTCCACCGTTGTATGAGAGTCATTCATGCCACCTGCCATGACAAAATCCCAGTGGTTTCACACAATAAAGGTTTATTTTTCATTCTTGTCTCAGTCTAAGTGGATATTTGGGAGGGAGCCTTCCAAGCAGGATTTCAAATGATTCAAGGTGCCCCGTTCCATCTCAGGAAAAGGGCAGCATGAGGCATCACTGGAAACAGAATGGACCAGGACCAGCTCTGCCCACATTATATCAGCCAGAAGCTAGTCCAATGGTCTGAGCTAACCCCTGGAGAGGCTGGGGAATGCCGACTTCCAGCGTGCCCAGGAAGTCAATATGCAATGTTGAGCATCCGGCTGGTCTCCACCGGACCAGTTAATCCACTTCAATATCTTCAACTGCTCCTCCATGACATGCCCCCAGGGGTCATGCTTGTTCTCCCCAAACGTGATGCTCAGGAGGACTAAACCTACCGGCTAGACATGGCCTGCTCATGCCAGAAGACCCGGCAACATCACCTCCCTGGATCTGGACACCACATGTCTATGAAGACAGCCTACGTATACTTTAGCATTTTTAGCAACAGTCACACTGTTGGATCGTATTATGCTTGTGGTCAACTAAGACTTCCAGATTTCTTTCATGTGAACTGCTGCCAACGGAGGACTCTCTAATCTAGTTCTTGTGCTTCTGAATTTGAAACCACATGAAACTGAACAACAGTTGTTGAAAGTCTTCCCTCTTGCTGGGTTTGGCTGGGCATTTGGGTCTGCAGAGATTATCAGGGATCCTGATGTTACATCCATCATATCGGCTTCGCTCCTAGCCCAGTGGCATCTTTGGCCTCTCCTGATCTTCGGGCAAGTTACCGATACAGATTTAGACCAGGATGAAGGCTGATAGCATAACTATGATTTGAAATGAGCCTTTGATTGATACTTTGGGTATGGTTGTTTAGCCATCTGGGAATCTGTCGAACAAGATCATTTATCAGCTCACATTTAGTCTGTTAACCAGACGATAAAGTCAAGCAAAACCTCATTTGTTTAGTGCTTACTCTTTGAAAGCATCTAATTTCCCCCAATATATCATTCTTGTTGAATTCAATATGCTATAAACCCTAACTAATCCATGGTCATAGCGATGTATCTGAAGTCACACAGTTTATTATTAACAGAACCCAAGCTGGAATGTAGATGTTCTGAATCCCAAAGCTTTCCCACCATCAAGAATCTAATGTGTGCACAGTGAACCAAGAGACAACCACAGCACATGGCCTTGAAGCAGAAACTGACCCCACTAAAGTGGAGCCATGTGGCTGTTAGCACCTCCTCTGAAATGCCCACATATTTTCCAGCTTGCGACTTGCCATTCATCAGTCCACTTCTTTGCCCCTCCAATTAGAAAGACAAGAAATATGACTGCCAAATATTGTGTTGGAAAAACTACCTGAAGTCATTCAGGCATGACTCAACGTCACATGTGTGTTCATGTTCATCACGTACTTGGGGAAAGGCCTCCTGGGGACTCTCATGACAACCATCAAACCCCACCTCCACATGGCTCCAGAGGTCAAACTCAGTGAGGAGGGCCGGTGTGCACTGCTAAAACCCTTAGCTACAGAAAGCTACGGAAGAGAGGGATGTTTGTATGATTTCCAAGTACACATTACCTCGGCTGAAAGAGCGTGGCCAAGAAGAGGTTCTGTGGGATCTGATAAGAATCCACCCTAATTAACACACTAATTGTTTCCAAGTAGATGTATCTAAGGGCTTGAAGAGCTCGTTTGCTTAAGTAGACCAAAAACCTCCGCGTCTCCGTTAAATATTGTTTACATCGTTAGTTCCCTGGACAAACTCTTTTATCACAAAAAAATATAAAGGTGAACCTAAGACAGAGTGAAATTATTCCAAATTCTTAATAAAATCCTTGATAATTACAATCTTTAAAAAAAGAAAATCTGAGCTTGCAGGATCTTACTTGGGTATAAGAGAAAATCATCCAAATTCAGGTAATTTCTTTTTTCACACTCTAGAATCATGTGTCTTTTGTTAATTTGCTTTTTAATGTGAATGTATTTATCCAGATAACGTTATACGTACGAGTGAGGCACTGGGCTGTGTACCATTCATTCATTATCTCAGATGATCTTCACAACAGTTATATGAGCAGTGCGAGCAAGTTAGCCCCATTTACAGATGGAGGAAGTGAGACTGCAGGTGATCCCACAGTGAACACTTGGTCTGGAAAAAACCAGCAATCAAACTCACGCCTCTGCCTCCAGCAAGACTTATGGTGATATAGGCAGTGACTAAAGCCTATAGGTTTCTCAAGGGCCCTGAAAACATCTGAACCCTTAAAAAAATAAAATTTAAAAAAGAAAAAAAAAAGGACTGACTCCAGGACATAAAGAACTACACAAGTCTATAATCCTAGCCCTTTGGGAGGCCGAAGTGGGCAGATCGCCTGAGTGCAGGAGGTCGAGACCAGAGTGGGCATCATGTCTAAACCTTGTCTCTACTAAAAAAGAAACAAAAAAATTAGGAGGGCTTGGTGGCACACACCTGTAGTCCTAGCTACTCGGGAGGCTGAGGCATGAGACTCGATTGAACCCGGGAGGCAGAGGTTGCAGTGAGCTGAGATCACGCCACTGCACTCCAGACTGAGCAACAGAGAGAGACTGTCTCCAAAACAAACAAACAAACAAACAAAAAAACCATTTTTACCAAATACTTAGTTAAATATTTATAAAATAACACTGTTAACTAGCCAATGGTAATTTAACTCAATCCTCAAGTAGCTACCAGTGAATATAAAATTTCAATTAAGAATACAGTTGGTCCTTCCTATGTGCGGTATGAGTTTGGTAGAATCTGAAGATTACGGAACTCATGGATAGAGAAGGCCAACTGTAGATCTTTTTTCTTAAATCTCAAGTTACCAAAATTATGAGGCCCCCCCCTCATTTCTGCATCCTATAAGATGAAATTTTTAAAACTGTGGGTGCATTTTTAATGCTTTGATAAATGAAGGGTGAGCCGCTCCAAAAATAAGAAGCATCGGGGCTACTCCTTTTTCTTTCTTTCTTTTCTTTTTTTTTTTTTTTTTTTTTGGAGACGAGTCTCATTCTG